TCACTCAGCATCAATGTGGTCCACTCCGGCCCGTTCTATCATTCGAAAAACGCTTTTTTCCCCTTGGCCGGGATGCCCCCACTATGTTTACATAATATTCGAATATCTCCAAGGCATTTTTTCGTCGTAATGGAAATAGAAATATTGTGCGTATAAAATGCAAAAATATGATCAAATTAATGAACATAACAATTATTTTCTTGTAGAATGAATTAAAATGTCGTTTTTCTGACTCATGTGATGTTAATCTTGAAACACGACGACATTGGTATATATATATATATATATATTACAATTGTATGTTATTTTAATTTTAATTTATTTATTCTTTGTTTTTTATTTAGTACTTATTGTCGTTTGAAAAAATGTTTTTCAGTGGGTATGAAAAAACAATGGATTCGTACAGAAGATGAAAAATTAAAAAAACGTCGACAAATTGAAAATAATCGTCGAATAAAACAACAAAAAGCAACTCAATTAATATCATCAATAAATTTATTACATGATGATACATCAAAATTATCAATGGATGAATGGACACTTTTAAATAATATTACATATTCTTATGATCAACGTGCATGTATGTCAACTATTGCAACATTAACATTATCATCATCATTAATAACAGTAATTAAATTTCCTGTACATGGTTATGTTAATTGGAAATTAAATGTTATGACCGATTTATTAGCCTATTTTAAATTAATACCGGAATTTCAACAATTAAGTTTAGATGATCAAGTTTTATTAACAAAACTTAATTTAAGAATTATATTACCAATGAATTATTGTCTTATACATTCAGTAATAAAACAATCAAGTTATATTCAAACAATTATATTAATTAGTGATATTGATTCAAATATAATTCGTTCATCAACAGCTATAGCACAAACATTTAATTCATTTATTCAAGATCCATTAATAATGAAATTAATGTTAATTATACTTTTATTTACAACAAATTTATTAACATTAGATACAACAATATCTTTTGAATTAATACAATTAAATTATATTCAACATGTACAATTATATTATACACAATTATTATGGACTTATTTAACATATAAATTTGGTGAATATGATGCTCAAGTTTTATTAATGAAACTTACATTTAAATGTTTAAAAATGCAGTACAATGTATGTGAAATATATGATTTTATTCGAAAAAATGTTGATAGTGATCGTGTACAACCATTGGTGAAATGTATTACACATTTATAAATCATTTTTCTTTTTTTTAAAGACATTAGTAAACTGTGATAGAAGATTATTCCATCCTAAATTATTATTTTTATAAAGAAAAAAGAAAAGTGCAACTGTCTAAATTTATAACGAGATAAAAATATAATATATTATAAAAAAAAACATTCTTAAAAGTATCACTTTCCAATATTTTGAGTTTTTCGTAGAAATACTATGAAATAAAAAATGAAAAATTATAAAGGCTTCATATTTTTAGAATATATCTCTTGTTTTTAATTATCGAGTTAAAGAGTCTTGAAAGTTGATACATTTTTCTAAAATTTTGCATAAAAATAATTAATTGTTACGTAACGGTTCGTTATATTTTGTATACTACTAGACAGAGACAGAACGAAATAAAGAAAACAAAAGAGAAGTGAGTCACTGAAATAAGGACGAATTAGTCACGCATGTTTATATATTCTCTTTGTTGATACATTAAGGATATCCCACTCCGCCTCTTTTTGAGCTTTTCGTAGAAATGCTCTGAAATAAAAACTAAAAATCATTAAAGCGTCATATTTTCACAATTGATTGGAAACTCAATGGAGCATTTTTTCGTTTTTGTTTCAAATTTTTAAGTCACGAGTTTTCCGGAAAACTTGGTTTTTCATTGTATCACATTATGAGGCGCCCCCTCTCTCCCTTTAAATTTCATCCCATCGGGTTAAAAAAAAGTTTACTAGAGGTACTCGAGGTAATATTGTGGAGGAATTTCTTTTGAGACTGGCATTTCTTGTCGAGTTATAGGGAAAATATTGAAAAAGGTTTTTCAATTCTGGAAACTCTATAACTCGGTAAAGAAAGGTCTAGAATAAAATTTAAAAAAAATGACTCCTGCAATAGTGTATTGAGTACCTCTGATAAAATTTTTAACTCGAGTGGATGAAATTTAAGCGGGGTCATAATGTGACACAATAAAATCCGGAAGCAAAAAAATAGTTTTCAAGAAAAACGCATTTTATGCACCGATCACTGTAGGAAAACTGATCGGAAAATTCTGGAAAACATTTTATTGTGAAGAAAACACCTTCTTCTATCAGATTATGTTTAAGAAAAAAATTTAAATGTATAGAAAAGGAGAGAGAAAAGGTTACTAAACAAAAAAATTGAGGTTTTATAAGATTTGAAGGAAAAACAAACACATTTCATAAGTAAAAATTCATGATGACTCACTACATTCAACAAAAAATCCATCATTGCATTGATCGACCATTGGTACTTAATACCACCACTACCCTGTCTTTACTAAAATATCTTTCCATTAAATCAAGATTGTACTACGAAACTCAATAACAGCTCTATATCTTGAAAACTACAAGAGATCTTTTTCTAAAAAACAGATTAGTATATTGTACAACTTGTGTACTTCAGATTAGTGCAAAAAGTGAAAAAGGATCCTCTGTAATTATTTTGATTTTAATTAACGAAGTTAAAAGAATACGGAATAAATGGGATCTTGGGAGTCCCACTCAGAATACCGCTGTAT